TCGTGCTCAACGCAGACGTGTGCTCCGAGTTCCCCTTGCAGGAGATGCTCGATTTCCGGCAGCGGCACGGCGATGCGCACAGCTTCGTCATGCTGGGCACCACGGTGAGCAGCGGCGACCGCCGCAGGAGCCGCGCTGCCCGGGGACGCGCGACACGAGCCCAGGGCTCTGCGGCATGCAGGCTCTGCGGGCGCGCCAAGGGGCTCAGGCGCTGAATTGCGGCGGCATTGTGGCTAATGCGGACACACACGAGGTACAGGAGGGACACTGGGGACCGTGCAGCCCGCGTGGGCACCTGTCGCCTGCATGACGGGACAGAGGGTGTGGGGCTGGGGACGGGGCTGTGCAGGGGCTGCGACTGGCACTCGCGCCTGTCCCTCGCGCCTGTCCCCTGCCTCCAGGTCCTGCACTACGTCGAGAAGCCCAGCACGTTTGTCAGCGAGATCATCAACTGCGGTATCTACCTCTTCACACCCGCCATCTTTCAGCACATCGGCGACGTCTTCCGGAGGAACCAGCAGGAGCTCGTGCTGTGAGTGCCCCTGCCTGCCCGCGTCCCTCCCACCCCACTGCTTCCCAGGGCTGCAGCAGCACACTCATCCTCCATTCTTTCTCTGTCTTCTCTTGTCCTCTGCCATCACTCACTCGTTTCCTGATCTTGCACCAGCTGTCCTTACCTCGGGTAAGTCTCCCTCTGTGCCTGCACTGGCTGCTCTCAGCGCTGCATCGTGTGAGCAGGGACGCATGCTCTCCTCCCTGCTCCACGCTGCCCTGCAAGGCTGTTGCTTGTGCCTGTCCCCTGCTGTGCTGCTCCTCTCCTGGCTACGTTGGCAGCCCCAGGCTCAGCAGTCCTCACCTCTGCCTTCCTTCCCTCCCTCCACCCCATCCTCATGCAGCTCAGGACAAAGCAAGCATTTCCACAGGGAACACACTGCTTCCCCTGCTGGCCCTGTCTGCTCTCTTACTTGGCCTGGGATCTTTGCCACCACCTCCGTGTAAATCCAGTGTTGCAGAGCTTTCTGCGGCCGCAGCTGACTGGATGTGTCACACGTGCACCCTGTGCTGGGTGCTGCTCTCGTGCTGCAGTGTCTGGCTCAGCATGTTTCAGGTGGCGAGGCCTTGTCCCTCTGCTGCTCTGGGGCTCAGCAGAGCTGGCAGGGCTGGCCTCACAGTTGGGACTGTCCCCTCCTGTGGGGGGAGACGCACAGCTAGGAAGGAGTCCCAGGAAGAGCCCTGGGGCCAAGGAGACTCCAGGTCCGGAAAGGGTAGCTGCTGGTCGCCCTGGCCGAGGCACTGATGCCATGGGTGTCTAAAGGGCATTTTGCTTGCAGCGAGGAGAACTCCAATGGCTGGCAGCGTGCAGAAGTGATCCGGCTGGAGCAGGATATTTTCACAGCGCTGGCTGGGAGCGGCAAACTCTACGTCTACAAAACTGATGGCTTTTGGAGCCAGATCAAATCAGCTGGGTAAGGCCTGGAGCCAATGTTGCTATAGCAGGAGGGCAGAATGATCTGCAGCGGGGCTGAGAGAGGAGGGTAACCAGGCAGGGCTCTGAGGCTCTGTAGGGATGGCAGCTTCTCGGTTCAGAGCGTTGCGCTAGAGAAGCAAGAGATTTTTTTTTTTTTCTTTTTCCTCCCTCAGCTCTGCCATCTATGCCAGCCGCCTTTACCTGAACCAGTACAGCCAGTGCCACCCTGAGAGGCTGGCCCAGAACAAACCTGGAGGCCCTATCATTCGAGGTATGACCCAAGGTATCCCTATGCCACCCTGAGTGACTTTGGCTATTGCCTGGCAGCTGCCCAGGACAGGGAGGAAGTGGGATCTGTGGTAGTTCTTCCTCTGCTCTGAGAGACGGGTGCTCCTGGAAGCTGCTTCCCCTCATGCCCGTGCTCTGTGTTGCAGGGAATGTGTACATCCACCCGACGGCCTCTGTTGACAGCACTGCAGTGGTGAGTGCATCCCTGGGGGACCCTGCAGCAGTGTGAACTTGGGGCAGTGCTACTCAGCGTCTCCTGTGGTGGCAGGCTGAGGTCACCACTGTCCTCAGCCTCATCACATCCCTCTGTCCTCACAGCTGGGCCCCAATGTCTCTATTGGGAAGGGGGTGACGGTGGGAGCTGGTGTGCGTGTGCGTGAGTCCATCGTCCTCCACGGGGCCTCACTGCACGTAAGTAGGGTTGTCCAGGGTGGTTGTCTGCACCCTAGGCCCTAGAAAGGGGCCAGCTCCCCTCCTTCACCACTGCTGTCTCATCCCTGCCAGGATCACACCTGCGTTCTCAATACCATTGTGGGCTGGGACAGCACCATTGGGCGCTGGGCTCGGGTTGAGGGAACACCCAGTGACCCCAACCCCAACGATCCCTATGCTAAGATCGACAGTGAGACTCTTTTTCGGGATGGACGGCTAACACCTTCCATCACAATCCTGGGTAGGTCTTAGGCCCTGTCTGCCCTTAGCAGCCCTGACCCTGCCTGCACAGGGCAGAACTTTTTCCCCTGCCTCTTACTGACTGCGCTCGTCCTCTCCTTGCAGGCTGCAGCGTTACCATCCCTGCTGAGGTCGTCATCCTCAATTCCATTGTCCTGCCCCACAAGGAGCTGAGCCGCAGCTATAAGAACCAGATTATCCTGTGAGTTGTCCACTTGCCCAGTTGGGACTGACAGTGCCAGCCCCAGCTTCCCTGAGGTGCCCTACAGAAGAAGGTTCTGCCTCCTGGAGCTTTCCAGCTGCTCCCCCGAGGGAGGAGTGTAGGCCAGGAGTCCTCATTCCTGCTCCAGACAGACATTAAAGCGGGTGCACATCCGCCTCGTGTGCCGCTTCCCTCGCAGCCCAGGGCTGTCCCTGGGGCAGGGTGAAGGCTTTGGCATCAGCACGGAGCCTGCAGGGCAGAGCAACGGTCCAGCTGCTGTGCACCTGCACAGGGAGCCCTGAGCTGAAGCACTTGCTGCCTGCAGCATCTCAGAGCCTCTAAGCTTGGGCTGTTCTTCTGCTCAAGGGCCCAGCCAGCACCCAGTTGCCTGGGAAGACTAAGTAGCCCTGGCCTAGCCTTCTATGTGCTGTGCCACTTGCTGCCTGCAGTCCCCTGGCAGGTCTGGGCCCATCTCTTAAGAGGGCAGAGGAGCTTTGCATGCGCCTGCCCTGCACGAGGCTGTTGTCAAGAGCCTGATTTCCACAGCAAGGTTGCAACAGCCAAAGGGCTGGCTCCTGCTGGGCCCTTGGTGTCTCAGCGAAAACTGAGAGCAGGCCAAGGGTGTCCCAAGGGCACTGGTGCAAGAGAGCCAGGTCAGACACGTGGGTGCTCTGGGAGTTCTGCTGGCCTTGGAGGGAGCTGCAAAGGCTCTGAGGGTTTAAATGCTTTGCTCTGCAGAGCTGGCCTCATCAGGGTGCTAATGTAGACCGCCTGGTCTCCAGGACCACCCGCAGCCCTGAAGGCTGCCAAGGAAGGCACCAGTGCTGCAGAGAGTGTTCCCATCGGGCTCAGACCTGTGCAGAGCTCAGGGAGATGGCAGCAGGCCCCTGCCTCAGGAGTGAGCCAAGAGCCTTCTTCCCACCAGCACTGCTGTAGCTCTGGGGGCTAATGGCACGTTCCCCCCTTCCCACCAGCCTGGCTTTCAGTCTCCTACTGAGCAATTGTTTCATGTGTGTGCGGGTGGCAGAAGCCTACTGCCTTGCCTGCATCTTGAAAAATCCTGTTCTTTTATCAGAGGCAAGTCCCTGCTTAGCCTGGCACACTCCAACTCCAGCAACCAGTGTTGCCACTTATCCACTTATCTGCATCTTCTCCTGGAAGGGAGGTCTGTGCTAAAGCACCGTGTACTGCTGCAGACCCCCTCCCGCCTCTCACCCTAACTAGGCATCACCTTAGGGATTTTGCATCCATCCAGTACCAGCTCCATGGATTTGCAGTAAATCCTTGCTCCCAGCCCCACACATTCCTGTGCCAGTTCTTCTGTGGTCCTGGGCGGGGATTAGCTGTTCCCTGACTTTAAGCACATTAAACTGCTTCAGTTTTGCCTCTGCTGTGGATGTGCTAATTTCCTTGCCCTCTAGTGAGCATTCCTGTCACAGAGTGAAACTGAGCCAGAGTTACTTGCTCACATTCAGGACTGCTTGAATTCCTTTTCTGTATTACACCTCTGTCCTGGATTTCAGCACAAAGGGTATTCAGCTGCTGGACACAGCCATGGTGTTGGTCATCCCCCTTTCAAAAGGCCTGTTTTGTTCAAGTGTTATTAGTGATAGTTCCTCCTACCAAGTTATCTGAGGGACAAGCCCTGCCCAGATCCTCACTCCATTCCTGTTTAATCCTGCTTTCAATGTCTTTGTGGGAGGGCTGTGCCTCCCACTGCTAGTTACTTCTCCTGGGGCTGGAGGTAAGGAAAGAGTTAAAGGGGCCACTGCTGAGGTGCCAGGAAGTCTGGAAATACTTAAGTTCGTTGGCCCTAAGTAATCAGAGCTGCTGCTAAGGGCAGAACATCTGGGCTGAAACAGGGGCCTCACATCCAGGGCTGTAGGGCAGGGAGAGGGGGGTTTCATTCTAACCGAATTCCCATCCTGCTCACTAAAACAGGGCAGGGGAGGCCCAGCATGCGTTCTCCAACCCTGGGCTGGAGCCCAGCAATCCAGCCCACTACCAAACTCCGGGATTTGGGGGGAACCTTGGCTTTTACTAGAACTCTAGTTGCATCTGCATAGGCAGGAGCACAAGCACTCAGGTGAGGCCTCATCATGCCAGCAAGCCCTTGCCCCTACCCAAGCCCTCAAGCCTTGTGCCCCTTTTGCAAAAAGGGGCAACAGGCCCCTGCTTTGAGTCTGCCTTCCCCTAGCTCTGACCCAGGGCAAGCCCCAAACCTGTCACTAGCCCGGCACCCTGCTTCCAGGGGACAACCCGTCACAGGGGCATCAGTCACAGCCGTGCCTGTTTTGCTGTAAACATTTAATACAAGTCAGTGGTAAGCACAGTGCTCAGCCAGCACCCCATCACCGTGGCTGCACAGGGCACCTGGCCCTGCTCCCCTGTCCCCACACATGAAGCTGCAGGAGCAGAGAGCAGAGCAGGGCCCAGCTCAGCACTGCTGCCGCTACCCAGCACCACAGGCTCATGAGGGGGCCCAGAGCAGCTCCTGGTCCCGCAGGCTCCGCTCCTCCGTCGCTGCCTGGTGCCCCTGGGGAGCTGCCGCCAACTACACAGGGGAAGGGAAGAACCTCCCCGCTTTCCTCAGGGCAGGCCCCTGCCTGCGTGGGGGAAGGAGATGAGTCAGGGGTGCAGCGCACGCCGCCCGCCCCCCTCGCTCCCCGGCAGCACTCACGGGGAGCGGGCGGCCGTTCCCACGCAGCTCCGCAGCGTGCTGGGGAGGCAGCAGGTCCCCGCCGGGCTCAGCTGCCCCGGCTTGGGCTCCCCTCAATGTCTCTCCCCACGTGTGCCTGTGTCTCACCATGCTCACTGCCCGGGGCCGGGCCGCTGGCCGACAACGGCACCAGGTTCTCCTGCTCCGTGCCCACGAGGCGCCTCCAGAAGTCAGGTGGTAGTGAGAGCAGCTGAGCCACCACCTGGGCAAGGAAGGAGGGCGGATGCAGAGGCCAGCAGCACCGCGGCACAGCCTGGCCTTGTGGCCGCGCTCACCTTGCACTGCCGCGGCGTGTCCTCCATGATAGCGAGCGGTGTGGGGTTGGCACAGCTGTGCCCCACCAGCGTGGGCCCAAACACCCGCGACAGGTTCAGCACGTCCATCTTGCAGTGAGGGCTGTGGGACACCCTGCAAGGGGCGGGGGGTGACAAGAGCGGGTCAGCGCAGCCATGGCAGTGCAACCAGCAGCACTAACCCCCACCCCGTGGTGGGGGAGTCAGGGGCACCCAGGGGTGCCAGGAGCCCCACTCACCTGAGCAGGTGCAACATGAGAAAGGCCAGGGTGTCCCTATTGGCAGGGGGCAGCTTGGTCACGACGTGGCGCAGCGCCATGTTGCAGGCGTCCTCATCCGGGATGTCTGCAGTGGCACCAAGAACTCTGTGAGGGGAGGAGCAGCCCAGCCCCACGGCTTCCCCCAGCCCCACGGCACGGGGCCCTCACCGGCGGCCTGCAGGAAGGCCGAGTGCAGGCTGAACGTGACCAGCGGCTCCTTGAGGCCCCGCAGGAAGTCCTTGAGCACCCCACACACCACGTGCACGTCGGCCACGGCACCCAGCCCTGGTGGCACAGCCCCGGCCTGCAGCAGCCTCTGCTTCCACTCCCGCACCAGCGGCTCCGCGCCCGGTACCCGGTACAGCCCCGTCTGCAGGTGGGAGAAAAGGGGCTCAGCACCACGGCAGCACCACGGGGCACCCGGCGGCCCCGCTGCGGCTGCCCCTACCTCTGTCAAGCCTCGCCTCTCCACCTCAGTCACGCACTGCACCACCAGGGCGGGCACCAGGGGCGGCACGGGTGGCGCAAAGTCGGCCAGGACACCCTGAGGACAACAAGGCGAGCAGAGAAGCAGCACTCATGCTTGGCACCCGCCGTGCAGGCGGCCTCACTGCCCTGGTGGCCCAGGACCCTGCTGAGCCGCCAAGCGCCGCTCACCTGTCGGGGCCAGGCGCGCTGGCACGGCCATGGCCCGCAGGGCCTGGGGCACTGCTCCCGGCACTTGGCGTGCACCCGCAGCTGGCCCCCGCAGGGCAGCCTTCCCGAAGCGGATGCGGGAGCCACAGGCAGCACATGGCTCGGGGCGGATGATCTGGAGCAGGGTCAAGGCCTCGATTCGCAACTGCATCTCTCCTGCGATGGGCATGTCCCCACACCAGGCTCCCTGCTCCAAGGGGGCCAAGAGGAGGGATGGGGCACATACCGTTTTGGAGGTGAACTGATGCTGCAGCGGTGGGGGGCCCCAGGGAGGAGAGGAGACAGGGGCTGGTGCAGGTGCCCCTGCAGAGCCATCCTCAGTGCGGCTCTCTAGCCCAGGGGCAGAGCAGCCCTGGTCCTTGCTGCTGCCCCACACTGTGGTCAACTCTGCCGGGAAAGAAGATAGTGGAGGGGGGGTCCCAAAGGGCAAACCGGCCCCAGGAGGGAGCCAGGCAGGCTCCCAGTGGCAGCTGAGATCCCTGCAGGGCCACAGCAGCACCACAGCAGAGGGGAGCATCCCCCAGGGGCTCCATGCCCTCCCCAGGGACGGGTGCACCCCAGGGCTGATCCCACGCCGATGCGGAGCGTGACGCACGGGTGTGCAGACACCTGCCAAGCCCCCCGCCCTACCCAACCCGTCCCACGACCTGTGCGCGTGGAGAGGCGCTGTCCTTGACGAGAGCGGCGTCGCGGCACCAGGGCGGTGGGCGGCAGGCTGCCAGCAGCACCCAGCACCTGGGCAGGAGGGGACGCAGGGGGGACGCTCACCTGCAGAGGTGGGGGGTGATGAGGAAGCCCACAGTGCTGCAACACTCCCCCTCACCACCCCCAACAGCTTTCAAGCTGTGCTTGGCCCCCTCGCACAGCCCCAGGGCCCTGCCACCAACGGGGATACCGGCTGTGTGGCACTGGTACCCAGCGAGGAGCACCCAGGGGCCCCACAGCATTCACCAGGGCTGGGCATGCAGCGCTGCCCACCGCTCTGCCCAGCACCCATCCCTGCCCTGGGGACGAGGTCCTTACTCACAGCATTGGGGGGTGTCACGGATGGACGGTGCCGCTTTGCTGCCACCACAGGGCCGATCTGAGGGGCCAGGGACACACGCTGGGGACACAGCGGATGGGTGGTCAGGGCTGCCGTCCTCACCCTCATGCTGCCCTCAGCAGCCATGCATCCAGCCCCAAGCCCCACAGCCTCGGCCTCACAAGGGTCCCGCTCTCACTGTCTGCCCCCCACCAGCCACCATAGGGCACCGAGACCCTTGCCCATGTCTGTGCCGGGGCAGGCCAGGCCAGGCCTGCAATGCAGAGGGGCGAGTGGAGCAGCATGTGGGATGCCTGCACGTGGGGATGAATTATTGAGGAGCTCAGTTGGGCAGGGTGCAGGGTAATGGAGTTTCTATTGATCGCGGGAGGTTTGCGGAGAGATGACGCTCCCAGCTCAGCATCAATAAATTAAACCCCCTGCCAGGCTCTTTGCAGCCTCCCATGCAGGGTCTGAGAAAAGTGCACCACCCAGGCCCAACACAGCACTGTAGGTATGGGCTGCAATCTGGCACTGGGGGGCCCGTACCAGGTGACAAACCTACAGCCACAGCATGGGGAAGCAGAGCGGACCCAGGCACCTTCCCAGGACCTGCTCACCCATGTCAGGACAGTCCCTCTCAGTGCTGCTCTCAGCACACTCAGGCCACCACATCCCTGCATTTCCCTCATACCTGCCTCTCCTGAGCTTTGCGCTTCAGGGTCTTCACCACTGTTGTATCAACATCCTGAAAGGCAGGAAAGAGCCTGGGGGTTTGGCAGGGCAACACAGGGTGCCCACAGCATCCATGCTCAGCAGCACAGGGCATCTGGGGGCAACGAGCCTCCTGCTTGCATCACTGCTGGAGTGAGGCAAAACTGTTCCCTTGCTGCCAGACTGCTGCTGGATGGAGTGCAGGAAGCAGCCAGCCCTGGGACAAGCAGTACATACTTACCACATCATCATCAGTGCGGTCATAGCTGATGTCCGAGTGGGACAGCAGAGACTGGCACGACTCATCTACTGCTGATGACCTGCAGGGCAAAGCAGGGGGTCATCACAGCCAGGAGATGCCTCCTCTCCCAGCCAGGCATCTCTTGGCATGATTATTTCTGCAAACCCAAGGATTGCAAGGAGAAATGCCTCTGCAAGGTCCAGCTGCTGCTGCAGGACAAGCCCTGGCCCCACGCCTCCCTTCAAGCCCAGCAAAAACAAGGGAGAGAGAAACAGATTTGAGCCCAGGGCTGCCTCAGGGGCAGGGAGGGGCTGCAACGGGGCAAGAGCAAGGGACACAGTCAGGATGTTCTTTCCCAAAGAGGCTGCAGGGCCATCCCACTGATGGCGATCACCAAGCCAAGCACGCTCACCTCCTCCCTGGCACCAGGGTCCTCCCAGTGTGCTGGCCTGCCAGGCTGCTGAGGATGGAACGCTGCTCAGCGGTCAGGACGGTGCTGCCCGACGGCTCCTGCAGCAGCAGCTTGAAGATCAGCTGAAGCTTGCGCTCCTGCAAGTGCAAAGGGGCAGCGATCAAGGCCTGTGACATGGGCTCTCCCATGTCACCCATCCCCACAGAGTGTCCCCGCAGCCTTAGCTGACCCCACAGACCTGTTTCTCCAGCTCAGCTTCTGCCCGGTGCCGCTTCTTCATCTCTACCTCCACCTGGTTGCGGGCATGCTTGAGCTTCACTTCCAGCACTGCGCGCTCGGCCTCGGCGCAGGCCAGCTGCTCGCGGGCCCGCCGCTGGTCCTGCTCCAGGCGGCAGCATTTCTGGCGTATCACCTCGAAGCACCGGACGGTCTGGATGTAGTCTGGGTGGGACACAAGCAGGTGGCCAGCCAGGAAGGGGCTTCTGGCCCCGAGCTCCCGCAATCCCACACATCAAGCAGGAAACGAGCCCTGGGAGCTTACAGCTGAGCCAGGCATGGAGCGCCCCAGGGTGCCCCCACCCTATAGGGCTGCACCCACCTTCCTCGACGCTGCTGCTGAGCTCCAGCAGCTGCAGCAGCTGCTCCAGCTGCACCAGGAGGTGCCTGCAGCGCCGCTGCCTCATCCTGCTGCAGAGAGATGGGGCACATCAGATGCCTCCCCCCCTTGCCGAACCGCCTCCCCCCCCCCCC